GTCTGGGTGTCTCTCTCTCAGTGGGTTCACGATGGCCGTGTCAGAGACACTGAGAGGCTGGGTTCGAGCCCTGGGTCTGGGTGTCTCTCTCTCAGTGGGTTCACGATGGCCGTGTCAGAGACACTGAGAGGCTGGGTTCGAGCCCTGGGTCTGGGTGTCTCTCTCTCAGTGGGTTCACGATGGCCGTGTCGGAGACACTGAGAGGCTGGGTTCGAGCCCTGGGTCTGGGTGTCTCTCTCTCTCTGTGGGTTCACGATTGGGATCACCGGCACAGTAATGCCGCCCACCCCCTCTCCCCCTCCTTACTGGCTGCTCAACGCCCACCCGCTCCAACCGTGTGCCACACAGGGACAGCAGCCACTGGGGGTGCCCCTCGGTTAGAGACCGCACAGCAAGCAGCCAATCCTCACCCGGGCTGGACGAAGCGTGCGCGTGTCTGTGTGTACCGTACGTTGTACGTATGTTGGGTGTATGTACGCATGTGCGCGTTGGGGGGGGTAGGGGTGTGGGAAGGACAACAAACTGAACACAAGAACAAGCAGTTCTGAAGGAGTTTAAATTATAGTGGTGCAGTGCATTGTAGTGTATAGTGTAGTGTAGAGCATTGTACAGTGTCGTGTGGTGTATAGCAGTGTGTAGTGTAGCGTGTAGTAGTGTATAGTGTAGTGTATAGCATTGCATAGTGTCGTGTAGTGTATAGCGGTGCAGAGTTTCTTGGTTAGTATAGTGTAATGCATTGTAGCTTATAGTGTAGTGTATAGTGTAGTATGTTGAACTTCTTTTGCAGTGTACGTAGCCAATCAGAGGTGCAGGGGGAAGGACATCAAACTAAACGCGACAATACGCGGTTCTCAAGAAACGAGTTTGTCAATCTGGACGACGATGACGTCAAAGTGCATCACAGCTCCCAGTGCCTTCCTGCTATCGGAAGGAGAAGAGCGTTCCAGACGGCCACAGAAGCAGCAGCGGCATCTGACGTGACGGCCTCCATAGGACGCTGCTACTCGCTCAACAGCACTTGCCCCTAACAGGCTATACGGGATGACCTTTGTCTTTGTGTGTGTCTACGTATGTTTGTTTGTAAGACTGTACGATGAATTTCTTTCGCACCGTACGTAGCCACCAGTAGCCAATCGGAGGTGCCGGCAGGGAGGGGATGGATAAAAAACTAAACACGACAACAACAACAAGTAGCAGTTCTAAATGAGTTTTCAATTTAGTTTGGTGGTGTAGTGTATAATGTATAGTAGTGTATAGTGATGTAGTGTATAGTGGTGTAGTGTATAGTGGTGTAGTGTATAGTGATGTAGTGTATAGTGGTGTAGTGTACAGTGGTGTAGTGTATATTGGTGTAGTGTATAATGTATAGTGGTGTAGTATATAATGTATAGTGGTGTAGTGTATAGTGGTGTAGTGTATAGTGGTGTAGTGTATAGTGGTGTAGTGTATAGTGGTGAAGTGTACAGTGGTGTAGTGTATAGTGGTGTAGTGTATAATGTATAGTGGTGTAGTATATAATGTATAGTGGTGTAGTGTATAGTGGTGTAGTGTATAGTGGTGTAGTGTATAGTGGTGTAGTGTACAGTGGTGTAGTGTATAGTGGTGTAGTGTATAATGTATAGTGGTGTAGTATATAATGTATAGTGGTGTAGTGTATAGTGGTGTAGTGTATAGTGGTGTAGTGTATAGTGATGTAGTGTATAGTGGTGTAGTGTACAGTGGTGTAGTGTATAGTGGTGTAGTGTACAGTGATGTAGTGTATAGTGGTGTAGTGTACAGTGGTGTAGTGTATAGTGGTGTAGTGTATAATGTATAGTGGTGTAGTATATAATGTATAGTGGTGTAGTGTATAGTGGTGTAGTGTATAGTGGTGTAGTGTATAGTGGTGTAGAGTATAGTGTAGTGTATAGTAGTATAGTGTATAGTGGTGTAGTGTATAGTGGTGTAGTGTATAGTGTAGTGTATAGTGGTGTAGTGTATAGTGGTATAGTGTAGTGTATAGTGTAGTGTAGAGTGTAGTGTAGAGTGTAGTGTAGAGTGTAGTGTAGTGTATAGTAGTGTAGTATATAGTGTACAATAGTGTATAGTGGTGTACTGTATAGTGTATAGTGGTGTAGTGTATAGTGTACAATAGTGTATAGTGGTGTAGTGTATAGTGGTGTAGTGTATAGTGTACAATAGTGTATAGTGGTGTAGTGTATAGTGGCATAGTGTATAGTGGTGTAGTGTATAATGTATAGTGGTGTAGTGTATAGTGTACAATAGTGTATAGTGGTGTAGTGTATAGTGGTGTAGTGTATAGTGTACAATAGTGTATAGTGGTGTAGTGTATAGTGGTGTAGTGTATAGTGTACAATAGTGTATAGTGGTGTAGTGTATAGTGGTGTAGTGTATAGTGTATAGTGGTGTAGTGTATAGTGTACAATAGTGCATAGTGGTGTAGTGTATAGTGGTGTAGTGTATAGTGGTGTAGTGTATAGTGGTGTAGTGTATAGTGTACAATAGTGTATAGTGGTGTAGTGTATAGTGTATAGTGGTGTAGTGTATAGTGGTGTAGTGTATAGTGGTGTAGTGTATAGTGTATAGTGGTGTAGTGTATAGTGTACAATAGTGTATAGTGGTGTAGTGTATAGTGTACAATAGTGTATAGTGTATAGTGTACAATAGTGTATAGTGGTGTAGTGTATAGTGTATAGTGGTGTAGTGTATAGTGATGTAGTGTATAGTGTATAGTGGTGTAGTGTATAGTGTACAATAGTGTATAGTGGTGTAGTGTATAGTGGTGTAGTGTATAGTGTATAGTGGTGTAGTGTATAGTGGTGTAGTGTATAGTGTACAATAGTGTATAGTGGTGTAGTGTATAGTGGTGTAGTGTATAGTGTATAGTGGTGTAGTGTATAGTGGTGTAGTGTATAGTGTACAATAGTGTATAGTGGTGTAGTGTGACGGGGGTTTGACGGGGCGGTGTGACGGGCGGTGTGATGGGCGGTGTGACGGGGGGGGTGTGACGGTGGGGGGGGGGGGGTGTGAACGGGGGGGGGCGGTGTGACGGGGGGTGTGATGGGGGGATGTGACCAGCGAAGCGCAAACGTGGGCACGTGTGTGTACGTGTGTGTGTACGTGTGTGTACGTCTGTGTGTACGTGTGTGTACGTGTGCGTACGTGTGTGTACGTGTGTGTGTACGTATGTGTATACGTATGTGTGTACGTGTGTGTACGTGTGTGTGTACGTATGTGTATACGTATGTGTGTACGTGTGTGTACGTGCGTGTGTATGCGTGTGTGTGTGTGCGTGTGTACGTGCGTGTGTGTGCGTGTGTATGTGTGTGTGTACGTGCGTGTGTACGTGCGTGTACATGCGTGTGTGCGTGTGTACGTGCGTGTGTACGTGCGTGTGTACGTGTGTGTTTACGTGTGTGCGTGTATATACGTGTGCGCTGAACTTCTTTCGCACCGTACGTAGCCAACCGCAGTCATCAGAGGGAGAGAGAGCGGCGAGAGGGGGGGGGCGGGGGGGGGGGGGGGAGTGGTCACCTCGTCGAGACGAGGAGGTGGAGGAGCCGCGGCCGTAACGCCGGCGCCCACCATTTATAATCGTTGCAGTGCCACCACCACCACCGCCACCACCGCCACCACCGCCACCACCACCACCGCCACCACCACCACCGCCACCACCACCACCGCCACCACCACCACCGCCACCACCACCACCGCCACCACCGCTGCCACCGCCGCCGGCGACCGACCGACCGACCGAATCCCAACGTCGTCGCCCTTTCGTCGTTGGCGGCTGCCCAAGCGCCGGCTCGAACATTTTCGCTCAGTCTTTTATTTCGTGTCGTTCTTTTTTTTGGAATTTTTCTCCGACCGATTCGAAGTCCCAAGCCCCCCCCCCCCTCCCACCGCCCGCCAGGCCGCGGCCGCGCCCGTCCACCACCGGCGTAGGCCGAAGCCTCTCGCCGGGCCCCGGTCCGTCGTGACACCGGGGGGTAGAAGGGGGGGGTTGGTGGAGCTGCGTGGGTCTCCCCCGTGGGGCCAACGGTGCCGTAAGGCGGGCGGAGCGAGGCCTGGGGGCCCTCGCCCCGCTTACCGCCGGTCAGTTTAGTTAGTCCACCGCCACCGCCGCCGCCACCGCCGCCGCCGCTGAAGTAGTTCAAGAGTCGCCGCGTGGAGGGGGACGGAGCCTTCTGCTTCTTCGACGTCTTCGTCTCGGCCGGTTCCCAACGTTCCAAGCGTTCACGCCCCGTCACCGCGGGGTCGGCTGGACGGCGGCTGGACGGCGGCTAGACGGTGCAACCGCGAGGTTTTTTTTTTGCCGGCGGCCCGGCCCGGCCCGGGTCGGCGAGGGAATTTGAGAGTGAGAAATAATTATTTATACACCGGAGGAATCCGATGAGCCGTGGAGCTCTTCGCCACGGGCGCTCGCACCGCGCGTCCAACGCAAATCCACTGGGCGTGGCCCGAGGCAACAACAACAAGAGACCACCCCACAACCTACTCAACGTCAACCTCAATCCTGGGGGTCGCGCTTCCCCGTGAGGTGCTGGGGGGTTGGGTGGGCCCCCCGCGCTCAACCACCACCACAACCTCCTCATCATCATCATCATCTTCCTCCTCAACGTCAACCTCCTCCTCCTCCTCAATCGTCGCCCGCGTCAGCCGACGCTGAAATCCTGGGGGTCGGCATCCCCGTGGGGCGTTTGGTTGGGTCGGGTGACCACCGCGCTCGATCACCACCACCACCACCACAACCTCCTCCTCCTCATCATCATCTTCATCATCTTCCTCCTCCTCGTCCTCCCCCTCCTCATCGTCGCGATTTTCCACGACCGTCACCCGCCGCCAGCGCCGGCGGTGAAACCTCCGACGAGGGAGGGGTTCCGCGGGCGGTGTCCGCGTTGCATCATCACCGTCGTCGCCGCTCCTCATCCTCATCCTCCTCCTCCTCCTCCTCATCGTCATCGCCGCTCCTCCTCCTCATCCGGCAATCGTCACCCGACGCCCCCCCCCGGGCACCGGGGGGGGGTGGCCCCTCCGCGGGGGGAGGGGGGAGAGGGGTGGGGGGTGGCGCGCTAGCCGCCTAGACCTTGTAGTAGACGCTGGGGCTCTGGGGCGGAATCTCCTGCACGATGTACACCGGGTGGCCGTAGTCGCCGCTCACTTTCTCGTAGTGCGGGCAGAACGACGAAGACGACGACGAGCCGCCGCCGGGGCCGCCGCCGGGGCCGCCGCCGCCGGGGCCGCCGGGGCCGCCGCCGGGGCCGCCGGGGCCGCCGAGCCCCGCCGGGTCGTCCCCGACGGCCGACCTCAGCGGGATGATGATGTCGCTCGGCTCCGTGCCGCCGACGCCGCCGACTCCGACGCCGCCGTGCTTGGGGCTGCCGACGAGGCTGCCGAGGGGGTGGTGGTGATGGTGGTGGTAGGAGGAGGAGGAGGAGGGGCAGCCGGGGCCGCCGCCGCCGCCGCCGGCGACGCCGCCCCCTCCTCCGCCGCCCGCCGACGGGTGGCGGAGGTGGTGGTGGTGGTGGTGCTGCGAGGAGGCCGGCGCCGGGTGCTTGGTGCGCCGGCGGCGGCACCGGAGCAGGGCGACGACGAGCAGCGTGAGGAAGACGAGGAAGAGCACCGAGCCCGAGGCCACGCCAGCGACGAGGGCGATCTGGGATCCCAGCAGCGACGAGGAGGAGTTGCCGCCGGGGCCGCCGCCGCCGGGGCCGCCGCCGGGGCCGCCGCCAGGGCCGCCGGGGCCGCCGCCGGGGCCGCCGCCGGGGCCGCCGGGGCCGCCGGGGCCGCCGACGTCGGCGGACGGGTCGGCGCCGTTGCTGCTGCCGGATCCGGTGGTGCCCGAGGAGGAGATGGAGAAGCCGCCGTCGGCGGCACCACCGGCGCCGCCGCCGCCGCCGCCGCCGCCGTCGGGACCGCCGGAGGCGTCTGGAGATGGTGATGGAGAGAGAGTTTGTGGTGGTGGTGGTGGTGATGGTGGTGGTGGAGGTGGTGGTGGTGGAGGTGGTGGTGGTGGAGGTGGTGGTGGTGGAGGTGGTGGTGGTGGAGGTGGTGATGGTGGTGGTGGTGATGGTGGTGGTGATGGTGGTGGAGGTGGTGATGGTGGTGGTGGAAGTGGTAGAGATGGTGGCGTTGGTGGTGATGATGGAGGTGGTAGAGATGGTGGTGATGGTGGTGGTGATGGTGGTGATGGTTGTGGTGATGGTGGTGATGGTGGTGGTGATGGTGGTGGTGATGGAGGTGGTGGTGATGGTGGTGGTGGAGGTGGTGATGGTGGAAGTGGTAGAGATGGTGGTGGTGGTGGAGATGGTGGTGATGGTGGTGGTGGTGATGGAGGTGGTGGTGATGGTGGTGGTGGAGGTGGTGATGGTGGAAGTGGTAGAGATGGTGGTGGTGGTGGAGATGGTGGTGATGGTGGTGGTGGTGATGGAGGTGGTGGAGATGGTGGTGGTTGAGTTGGTAGTGATGGTGGTGGAGGTGGTGATGGTGGTGGTGGAAGTGGTAGAGATGGTGGCGTTGGTGGTGATGATGGAGGTGGTAGAGATGGTGGTGATGGTGGTGATGGTGGGGATGGTGGTGGTGATGGTGGTGGTGATGGTGGTGGTGATGGAGGTGGTGGTGATGGTGGTGATGGTGGTGGTGGTGATGGCGGTGATGGAGGTGGTGGTGGAGAGAGAAGAGTGGAGGAAGGAGAGTGAATGTGTGGGGTGGGTGGTGAGAGTGGGGCTGAGCGTAGTGGTGAGCGTAGTGGTGAGCGCGTAGTAGTGAGCGTGGGGATGACGGCGATGGTGAGCGCAGTGGTGAGCGTAGTGTTGGCGAGCGTGGCAGTGAGCGTGGGGCGGTGGTGAGCGTCGTGGGTGGGTCAGTGACTGTGGGGGGCTCACCCCTGTCGGGAGGGGGGTCTGCCGGAGGGCGGTGTGCCGAACCGTCGGGATGTTCCCTGGAAGAGGGCGCCCCCTGCTCCACTGATGCCTCGTCACCCAGCGGATCCGCTGGGTGGGAAATGAATAAAATAAATAGTTCGTTGATGTACGCCAATATATTGATAGATAGCCAAATAATTAAGACAAGTAAATACGTAGATCGATAAATAAATATATATAAATAGATAACAAGATAGATAAATAATAGATATATCAATATAAAAGACTAAATAACTATATAGAGAGATACATAAATAGGGAAAGGCCAATGAACCCTGCTCTGGGACTATCCTGGGAGGAGGTCTTTGTGTGTGCGTGTGTGCGTATGTGTGCGTGCGTGTGTGTGCGTATGTGTGTGTGTGTGCGTATGCACGTGTGGGCGTGTGTGCGTATGTGTGTGTGCGTGTGGGCGTGTGTGTGTGTGCGTGCGTGTATGTGTGTGTGTACGTGCGTATGTGTGTGTGCGTGTGAGAGTGTGTGTCTGCGTGCATGCATCTGTGCGTGTGCGTGTGGGCGTGTGTGTATATGTGTGTGTGCGTGCGTATGTGTGTGCGTGCGGGCGTGTGTGCGCATGTGGGCGTGTGTGTGTGCGTGTAGGCGTGTGTGTGTCTGCGTGCGTGCGTGTGTGCGTGTGGGCGTGTGTGTGCGGGCGTGTGTGTATGTGTGTGTGTGCGTATGTGTGTGTGTGCGTGCGTATGTGTGTGTGCGTGCGTGTGTGTGCGTTTGTGCGTGCGTGTGTCTGCGTGTGGGTGTGTATATGTGTGCGTGCGTGCGTATGTCCGGCAAACAACCCCCTACCTCCTCGCGGTGCCGGACGGGCAACTCTGTCGTGGACAGTGCTGTGGGGGGAGATCCAATTTTGATTGGCTCCTCCCCTCATGGCATATATGTCCACCACAGGGGCTAAACGGGGGCTCTGGACGGGTGCGAGGGGCTGGTAACCCCTCCACCTTCAATTAATTACCACGAAACCACGAATTAAACTGAAATATGTAACTAATAAGCTTGTGCCGGAGGCCCCGGGGGGCCAGGCGTCTATGACGTCTCCTGGCCAAACCCCAATTGGCGGAGCCAGGAGATTGAATACCTACCCTCGGGGCTACTCCAGAAACAACGAAAAGCCACTACGGGTGGCCACGTGGAATGTTCGAATGCTCACTGCAGAGGAGAGGCTGCCACTCCTCTGTCGGGAGCTGGACCAGTACCGCCTGGATCTATGCGGCATTCAGGAGGTCCGGTGGACCGGCTCTGGCTCCTGCCACCATGAGGGGTGGACAGTCCTCTACTCGGGGCAGCAGACTGCCAAACAACAGGGTGTGGGTCTTCTTTTGAACAAAAGAATGAAGGGGGGGTGGGAGCGTGGCGGTGAGGTGTGGGAAGCTGTAAGCCCCAGGCTACTTTGGGCTCGCCTTCCCATCAACCGGAGGCGAGGAATGGTGGTCGTGGTTACTTATGCCCCCACCGAAGATGAACATCCGTGGAGGGATGCAGGCAAAGCCGATGAGTCAGATGCCTTCTATGACCTCCTGTCACAGGTGCTGGCTAAAGTGGCCCCTTGGGATAGAGTCATCATGTTGGGTGACTTCAATGCCCGAGTTGGTCATCATACTGGCACCTGGTCTGGAGTGATTGGAGGGCATGGGCCAGATCAGCTCAATAACAACGGTAGGAGGCTGCTAGATTTTTGTGCAGCCCATGGGCTTGTAATTACCAACACGCTGTTCCGGCATCGGCGCATCCACACAACATCATGGATGCATGCCGGGTCCAAGCAAGAACATCTGCTGGACTACATAGTGACGGACCAGCGAATGCGAGCCCATGTCCTTGACACCCGGACCTACCGTGGAGCTGATCTGCCCTCTGACCATCGACTAGTCATCTGTAAGATGCGCCTGCCATTCTTCCACTCCGGTGGTGGGTGTACACCCAGGACCCCATTCCAACATAAAGTGGCCTGGTCTCAGTTATCTGATGAAAGTTGCAAGCGAGAATTTCATCATCGCTTGCGGCTGGGATTGGCATCGTCCCCGACTCCTCCTGATGTCGAGGGTAAATGGGCGAGGTTTAGGACTGTGACTCATGCAGCTGCAATGGCTGCTTTGGGTACGCGGTCCAGACCTCCCCAGAGACCCTGGCTGACAGAGGAGGTGTTCAGGATGGTTGAGAAAAAGCGACAGGCCCACTGTCATCGGCTACAGAATCCCACATCAGAGAATGAGGAGGCTTACCGCAGCCTTCGCTCGGAGGTTCGGAGAGCCGTGAGGCGCTGCAAGGATGGGTGGTGGTCGCGGGTTGCTGAGGAGATGGAGTCTGCCTCAGTGGCCCGTGATCACAAATCTCTATTTAACTGCATCAAAAAAGTAACCTGCAGCGCCACACCTATTACCATCATTAGGGGAAAAAACGGTGATCCAATCTCCGACCCCCAGGAACAGGTTCGCAGATTTACTGAGCATTTCTGTGAGGTCCTGGGGGAGGGAAAATCCCTCAGCCAGGAAAACATCGTGGCACAAAGTGAGGATGACCCTGCAGAGGCTGCGGTGCCTCAAATATTGGAAGAAGTCACCCCCTGTGAGTGGCTGGCTGAGGTGCCATCTGCTGAGGAAGTATTGAGGGCGATCCGGAGTCTGAGACCAGGAAAGGCAGCGGGCAGAGATGATCTCCCAAGCAAAATGCTGAGGGAGGGTGGTGTTTGTGCACAGACTGCCCTATATGACATCATAACAGTCTGGACCACTGGACGGGTTCCGCAGGATTGGAAGGATGCCCTGGTGGTCCCCCTTTTTAAGAAGGGGGACCGCACAGACTGTAACAACTACAGGGGCATCTCACTCCTCAGTGTGCCGGGAAAGGTCCTGGCAAGGATTATTCAGCATCGCCTTGCCAGGCACGCTGAGGAGAGGCTTGCGGAGCCCCAACGCGGTTTCAGGAAAGGGCGGTCCTGCACAGATGCCATATTTTCTGTCCGTCTGCTACAGCAGAGGTGTAGGGAATTCCAACAAGACCTACATCTCTGCTTTATTGACCTGGTCAAGGCCTATGATACCATCAGTAGGCCTGGGCTCTGGGTCGTTCTTCGTGCTTTTGGAGTACCTGACCCTCTGCTCACGATCATTAAGGACCTTCATGATGGTGAGCGGGCCCGGGTAAAACTACGTGGCCGGGAGTCAGAGCCATTCCCTGTACACCTTGGGGTGCGACAGGGATGTCCTCTGGCTCCCACATTATTTAACATCTATTTTGACCACGTAGTTCGTGAAGCCTTCAATAGCTGTACCGGGGGAATCTCCATATGGTACAGATATAATGGGAGGCTAATCGATGCCCGGGTGCGGTCAAGGGATGGCTCCCTATTGCTCAACCACGTTATGTATGCTGATGATTTGGTAATAGCTGCTCAGTCAGAGGAGGAGTTGGAGACGCTGCTGCTGAGACTGGAGCGTGCCACTAAGAGGTGGGGCCTTACCATCAGCCCCACCAAAACTAAGCACCTGCCTGGGTATTTTGTACCATCGGACACTCCACCCCCACAACTCCCAATCGGTGATGGGGCAGTTGTGGAGAGAGTGGAGAGTTTCCCATACCTGGGCAGTGTGCTTATGACTGGCTCCAGTTTAACAGCAGAGGTCTCACTCCGAATCAGTCGAGTGGCAATATCTTTTCATCGGTTGCGTAACGCTGTGTGGAAGCTACCTGGTCTGTCGCTCCGCACTAAGCTTCAGGTCTTCTCGGCCACGGTCATTCCCTCCCTTCTCTACGCTTGCGAAACGTGGACCCCCCTAATGGAACATCTTCGCCGGTTAGAAACATTTAGGCTGGCCTGCCTACGATCCATCCTGGGTTTAACCAGACTGGATTGTGTGAGGAGCTCACAAATCCTTGAAAGATCTGGGCAGGGTCCCATCGGTGAGCTCCTCCGGCAGGCAAGGCTGCGATGGCTGGGTCATGTAGCCCGCATGCCCAGCCACCGCATGCCGAAACAGCTTTTGTTTGGCCGGATTGAGGGGGCTAAGCGGGCGCGGCACGGGCTAGAGAAGAGATGGAGTGATGTGGTACAGGAGGACGTGGAGCTGAGTGGACTTGCCGATGACTGGTACCAGCGGTGTCAAGATCGGCCTCTGTGGAGGAGGCTCGTGAAGGATGCTACTGGGCAGTTGGAGGCAGTCGCCCTCCAACAACAACGGAGGGCGGAGGAGCGACGCTCACAACAACGAGCGGAGCGCCGGGTGGCTAAAGCACAGCAGGTTGGCACAGTAGGGGGCACAGGTGGTGCATCAGCCAGTCATCTCAGTCAGTCGACCCGTGGCACCTGGGTCTGCCCAGTGACCTCCTGCCAGCGGGCGTTCGACACTTCACGTGGCCTCACGGTGCACATAGCCTGGCACAAGCGTCGTGGTGACGTCACCGCCACTTAGTGGCGAATGGCGGTTGTTGTTGTTGTTGATGTGCGTGCGTATGTACGTGTGGGCGTGTGTGTGCGCGTATGTGTGTGTGCATGTGGGCGTGTGTGTGTGTGTCTGCGTGTGTGTGTGTGTCTGCGTGTGTGCGTGTGTGCGTGTGGGCGTGCGTGCGTGTGTGTGTGTGTCTGCGTGTGTGTGTGCTCACCTTGTCCCACTTTCATGACAAGCTTCATGCCCAGCGCCTGGCAGGCTCCGCCTATCCGGTTGTCCAGCCCCTCCGGCGTGCCGTCTGACGTCGCTGCAGACAGGCAAAGACAAAGATCCCCCGAGTAGCCTTCACGGACCGCCGCAGGGTGGGGGCAAGGGCTGTCCGTCCTGAGCGGCAGCGCCGCCGCTCAGGACGGGGCAGGTGGGGAGAGAGACGCAGAATCCAAATCTACAGCAGCAGCAGGTGTCGTCAGAGTCGGGATTGAACCCACGACCTCCTGCGTACCAGGCGAGGTAGTTAACATCTCCTAGCCACCGTGATGATGATGATGATGAGAAAGAGACGCAGACTCCAAATCTACAGCAGCAGCAGGCGTAGTCAGGGTCGGGATTGTAGTCAGGGTCGGGATTGAACCCACGACCTCCTGCGTACCAGGCGAGGTAGTTAACATCTCCTAGCCACCGTGATGATGATGATGAGAGAGAGAGAGATGCAAAATCACAATCTACAGCAGCAGCAGCAGGCATCGTCAGGGTCGGGATTGAACCCACGACCTCCTGCGTACCAGGCGAGGTAGTCAACATCTCCTAGCCACCGTGATGATAAGAGAGAGAGACGCAGACTCCACATATACAGCAGCAGGCGTCAGGATCAGGATCGAACCCACGACCTCCTGCACAGCAGGCGAGGGAGTTAACATCTCACGTTTGTACGTGCGTGTAAGTGTGTACGTGTGTGTGTACGTGTGTACATGTGTATGCGTGTGCGTGTGTGCGTACGTGTGTGTATGCGTGTGTACGTGTGTATGCGTGTGTACGTGTGTGTGTACGTGTGTACATGTGTATGCGCGTGTGCGCACGTGTGTGCACGTGTGTATACGCGTGTCTGTGTACGCGTGTGTGTACGTGTGTGTGTACGTGTGTGTACGCGTGTGTGTACGCGTGTGTACGCGTGCGTATGTACGCGTGTGTACGCGTGTGCGTGTACGTCTGTGTGTACGCGTGCGTGTACGCGTGTGTACGCACGCGTGTGTACGCGTGTGCGTGTACGTCTGTGTACGCGTGTGTGTACGTCTGTGTACGCGTGCGTGTGTACGCGTGCGTGTGTACGCGTGCGTGTGTACGCGTGTGCGTGTACGCGTGCGTGTGTACACGTGTACGCGCGGCGGGCCCCCTCACAGATGACGTAGTAGTCGTGGCTCCGCTTGAACTCGAGGCCGAAGAGGTGGGGCGAGAACTCCTGGAACTTGACGGTGTACTTCACGTGCTGCTCCGGCTTGTTGCACGTCAGCAGCAGCGGCGAGCCCCGCATCGTGCTGCACCGCTCCGCCTGCTCCCGCGTCACCAGGTACAGCTTGAAGAACTCCACCTCGCCGGGGCCCGCGGGGCCGCCGGGGCCGCCGGGGCCGCCGGGGCCGCCGGGGCCGCCGGGGCCGCCGGGGCCGCCGGGGCCGCCGGGGACGCCGGGGACGCCGGGGACGCCGGGGCCGGCCGCCACTCGCGGGCACACGACGTCCATGCGGTCGCCGATTCGCGGGTAGACCACAAGCCCCTCGGAAGAGTGGAACCTTGGGGAGGGAGGGAGGAGGGGGGGAGGAGGGGGGGAGGGAGGGAGGGAGGGAGGAAGGAGGGAGGGAGGGAGGAGGAGGGGGGGAGGAGGGAGGGAGGGGGAGGGAGGGGGTAGGGAGGGAGGAGAGGGGGAGGGAGGAGGGAGGGAGGAGGGAGGAGGGGGGGAGGGAGGGAGGGAGGAGGGGGGGAGGGAGGGAGGAGGGGGAGGGAGGGAGGGAGGGGCAAGAGGCGATCACTTCTAGACGCGATAATTCATCGCAGGGGGAGTCGTCGCCCACCACCCCACGATGCCGTCAGGCGGCTCCACAGCCGAGGGCGAGAGACCAGCGGAGCCCCCGGCCACTGCGTGGCCACCACCACCACCATCACCACCATCACCACCACCACCATCATCACCACCATCACCACCACCACCATCACCACCACCACCACCATCACCACCATCACCACCACCACCATCACCACCACCACCACCACCATCACCACCACCATCATCACCACCATCACCATCACCACCACCATCATCATCACCACCATCACCATCACCACCACCATCACCACCATCACCACCACCATCACCACCACCATCACCACCACCACCATCACCACCATCACCATCACCACCACCATCACCACCATCACCACCATCACCACCACCATCATCACCACCATCACCACCACCACCATCACCACCACCACCATCACCACCATCACCACCACCACCACCACCATCACCACCATCACCACCATCACCACCATCACCACCATCACCACCACCACCATCACCACCATCACCACCATTACCACCACCACCATCACCACCACCACCACCATCACCACCACCATCACCACCACCACCATCACCACCACCATCACCACCACCATCACCACCATCACCACCACCACCACCATCACCACCATCACCACCATCACCACCACCACCACCATCACCACCATCACCACCATCATCACCATCACCACCATCACCACCATCACCACCGTCACCACCACCATCATCACCACCATCACCATCACCACCACCACCATCACCACCATCATCACCACCACCATCACCACCACCATCATCACCACCATCACCACCACCACCATCACCACCATCACCACCACCACCATCACCACCATCACCACCATCACCACCACCACCATCACCACCATTACCACCACCACCACCATCACCACCACCACCACCATCACCACCACCACCATCACCACCACCATCACCACCACCATCACCACCACCATCACCACCATCACCACCACCACCACCACCATCACCACCATCACCACCATCACCACCATCATCACCACCATCACCACAACCACCATCACCATCACCACCACCACCATCACCACCATCACCACCATCACCACCACCACAGTGATCTCCATCCAGCAGTGGATAGACCGTGGTTGTGATGGTTACACTCGGAGACGGATTCGGGAAAACACACACACGCAGGGTAGAGACATCGCCGCCACCACCACCACCATCACCACCACAGTGATCCCCATCCAGCAGTGGAGTGCAGGAGAGAGGAGAGTGAAAGTGGGAGGGAGGTGATAGAGAGAGGTGGGCGACTGGGCCGTGTGAACTAACTCGAGGTGCAGCAGGGAGTGGGGGGGAGGCGCTGAGCGTTTCAGCGGTGCTGCCGCTAACTCGACACTCACGGCACTTGCCTCAATAGCCTGCCGAAGGCTACACGGGGGAAGGAGGAGGGGGGCCTTTGTCTTTGTCTGCGTGCGCGTGAAGGAATGCGCGTGCTTGCGGGGGGGGGGGGGGGGGCAGGGGGAACGGTGGGTGTAGTGGTTAGCGCCACGCTGCGCCACGAACCCAGGCAGAGAGGAATCCAGCGTTCGTATTCCCGCTCACGGCCACCAACGCCACCACCGGTGGCGATTATCTGAACCGGTAACCTGGGCACTCCCCTAGGTCGACTCGGCCTCAAACGAGTAGCTGGTGTGGCGGTGGTGTAGTGAACATCGCCACTGGGGGGAGACAAAGGCGGTCGGGCGTGGTGCTGGTAGCCTTCACAGGTGCTGCTGCTCGCTGTAACAGCACTTGCCCCTACAGCCTGTTAGAGGCTACACGGGGGATCTTTGTCTGTGTCTACCTTCACAGGTGCTGCTGCTACTCGCTACTAACAGCACTTGCCCCAGCAGTCTGTTAGTGGCTACACGGGGGACCTTTGTCTTTGAAGAGTGGAGAGTAGAGAGAGAGGGGGGGAGAGAGGGGGGGGAGAGAGATAGAGGGGGGGAGAGTAGAGAGAGGGGGAGAGGGGGGGAGAGAGGGGGGGAGAGAGGGGGGGAGAGTAGAGAGTAGAGAGAGAAGGGGGGAGAGGGGGGAGAGAGGGGGGGAGTAGAGCGTAGAGAGAGAGGGGGGGGGAGAGTAGAGAGTAGAGAGAGAGGGGGGGAGAGAGGGGGGGAGAGAGATAGAGGGGGGGAGGGGGGGAGAGAGGGGGGGAGAGAGGGGGGGGAGAGAGGGGGGGGAGAGAGGGGGGGAGAGTAGAGAGTAGAGAGAGAAGGGGGGGAGAGGGGGGAGAGAGGGGGGGAGTAGAGAGTAGAGAGAGAGGGGGGGAGAGAGGGGGGAGAGAGATAGAGGGGGGGAGGGGGGGAGAGAGGGGGGAGAGAGGGGGGGAGAGAGGGGGGGAGAGAGGGGGGGAGAGTAGAGAGAGAGGGGGGGAGAGAGGGGGGAGAGAGAGGGGGGGAGAGAGGGGGGGGAGAGAGGGGGGGAGAGAGGGGGGGAGAGTAGAGAGAGAGGGGGGGGGGAGAGAGGGGGGAGAGAGAGGGGGGGAGAGAGAGGGGGGAGAGAGATTGGCACCATCTCCCCTCCACCGCGTCCGTGTTTCCATGGCGACCGCGAGGACGCGAGCCCCCCCCCGCCCCCCACGCAGCCCTCTATTGTCTACACAGACAAAGATCCCCCGGGTAGCCTTGCAAGGGCTGCCGGGGCAAGTGCTGTGAGCGAGCTGCAGCGATGGGGGGGGGCTGGGTGTGGGGTGGCCAGCAACCACCACGCCCGGCCGCCTTTGTCTCTCCCCAGTGGCGACATTTGCCACACACGCGCACACACACACACCCACACACACACGCGCACACACGCGCACACACGCGCACACACACACACGTGCACACAAACGCACACACACGCGCACACACACTCACGCACACACGCGCACACACACACTCGCACACACACGCGCGTACACACACACACACGCACACACACACGCGCACACACACACACGCACACACACAACAACAACCGCCATTCGCCATTAAGTGGCCCGCGGGCAGGAGGTCACGGGGCAGACCCAGGTGCCATGGGTCGACTGACTGAGATGACTGGCTGATGCACCACCTGTGCCCACTACTGTGCCAACCTGCTGTGCTTTAGCCACCCGGCGCTCCGCTCGTTGTTGTGAGCGTCGCTCCTCCGCCCTCCGTTGTTGTTGGAGGGCGACTGCCTCCAACTGCCCAGTAGCGTCCTTCACGAGCCTCCTCCACAGAGGCCGATCTTGACACCGCTGGTACCAGTCATCGGCAAGTCCACTCAGCTCCACGTCCTCCTGTACCACATCACTCCATCTCTACTCTAGCCGTGCCGCGCCCGTTTAGCCCCCTCGATCCGGCCGAACAAAAGCTGTTTCGGCATGCGGTGGCTGGGCATGCGGGCTACATGACCCAGCCAACGCAGCCTTGCCTGCCGGAGGAGCTCACCGATGGGACTTTGTCCAAATCTGTCAAGGCTTTGTATGACAGATTTGGACAAAACTCCTCACGCAATCCAGCCTGCTGGTAAAACACAGCATGGATCGTAGACAGGCCAGCCTAAATGTTTCTAACCGGCAAAGATGGTCCATTAAGGGGGTCCACGTTTCGCAAGCGTAGAGAAGGGAGGGACCTAAAGCTTCATGTGGAATGACAGACCAGGTAGCTTCCACACAGCGTTACGCAAGCAATGAAAAGATATTGCCACTCGACTGATTCGGAGTGAGATTTCTGACCGGAGCCGGTCATGGGCACACTGCCCAGGTATGGGAAACTCTCCACTCTCTCCACAACTGCCCCATCACCGATTGGGAGCTGTGGGGGTGGAGTGTCCGATGGTACAAAATACCCAGGCAGGTGCTTAGTTTTGGTGGGGCTGATGGTAAGGCCCCACACCTCTTAGTGGCACGCTCCAATCTCAGCAGCAGCGTCTCCAACTCCTCCTCTTACTGAGCAGCAATTACCAGATCATCGGCATACATAATGATTGACCAATAGGGGGCCATCCCTCGTCCGCACCCGGGCCCTGATCAGCCTCCCATTATATCAGTTCCAGATGGAAATTCCTCCGGTACAGCCTGCAGGTTAAACCCAGGATGGATCCCAGGCAGGGCCAGCCTGAATGTTTCTCACCGGAGCGAAGATGCTCCATTAAGGAGGTCCACGTTTCGCAAGCGTGGAGAAGGGAGGGAGTGACCGTGGCCGAGAAGACCCGAAGAAGCTTCGTGCGGAGCGACAGACCAGGTAGCTTCCTCACCGTAGCGTTACCACACCAAGACCAGACCGCAGGGGCTGGTTGCCGTAAGCGAGCAACGCCAATGAAGGCTACCGGCACTGTGGCACACGAGGGGGTGGGTGGCTACCAGCAAACACGCCCGGCCGCCTTTGTCTCCCCAGTGGCGATGTTTAATTACACAACGCTACACCAGGTAGTCATTTGAGGCTGAGTCGAGCTAGGGGAGGCCCGGGACCGGTTCAGATAATCGTCACCGGTGGTGTTGGTGGCCGTTGAGCGGGAATCGAACTCGGGTCGCCGGGTTCGTAGCGCAGCATAGCGCTAACCACTACACCCACCGCTCCCCACGCAAGCACACACACACACGCACTCACACTCACACACACGCACTCACACTCACACACACGCACACACACGCACTCACACTCACACGCGCACGCACATTCACACACACGCACGCACATTCACACACAC